TTATCATAGAGATAAAATATCGTTATCCTCACTTTTACCGATATCGTATCGTATTCATTTTTCGATTTTTTTAACAAAAATTATCTCTTTTTTTAGCTTTTTTTAAAAAAAATTATTCATTTTTATTCATTTTATAAAATTTGCTGATTGACCAAAATAACAGCAGAAACATGCAACCGTGTCATATAAAACTATGAAATGCCATTTTTTTTAATATTTTTAAAAATTATTTTCTATTTTTTAACAATTTTTTTTTTTTTTTTTTAATAAATAATTAACTGTTTTTTTTTTTTAAATTTTTTAAATTTTTTATTTTTAAATTTTTTGTGAATAATATAATTAATTCAAAAAATAAAATAATAAATAAAAAATGTAATTAAATAAATATTATGACAGTTATGTGCAATATTCAAATTTAAAAATAAATAAAACAAAAAATATTTTTAATTATATATAAATAATATTAAAGATTTATTAATTTAAAACATTTAAAAATATAATTAAATAAATATTATGGCAGTTATTATTCATCTAGCTTGTTCACTATATTCATTGTGTGGGTCGCTGGATAGCTGGATATTGGTGTTGAAGTTTCTTATATATTCTGTTAATATTTTTGACTTCTCTTTCCCATGTACTGCGCAGATTAACTTGAATCGCTCAAGTATTCTTTGGTCATTAAGATGGAAACAGCTGATAATTTATAATAAAATATAAAATAGCATCTTAATTCAGGGGTAGAATGCAAGGCCCATAACCTTGAGGTCGTAGGATCGAAACCTACAGATGCTATAACCTTTTTAAGGTATAAATCTTCCCTGTGATTTAAAATTTTTTAAAAAAAAAAAAAAGTTTTCACAAACAAAGAATAGTATTTTTATTCAATAAGCAAAGAATTCCTTACAGCAATTAAATCAATTCACTCGACAGCTTAGCATTTTACTGATTAATTTAAAGCATTTGCTATTAATTATCTTCACTTTTAAAAAAAAAAAAAAAAAAAAAAAAAAAAAAAAAAAAAAGACGGCTTAGCGAAGTGGTCTAACGCGTCTAACTTGAAATCAATTCACTCATTTGAAAAACCCTGGATTCTGCCTAGATGGGCAACATCAATGATTTTACGGATTAATTTAAAGCGTTTGCTTTTAATTATCTTCCCTTTTTTAAAAAAAAAAAAACAAAAAATATTTTTTTGATTATAAAAATTATTTATATTTATTAATTTTTTTGCCCAACCCCTTGCAAATAATTAAAAATGGTCCAAATAAAATTGGGGAAAATTTTAGCAAAAATTATTCTTAATTCTAAAAGAAAAAAACGTTTGGTGGGATTTTTTTTGCATGGGGCGCTTTTTACCGCCCCCCCCCTTCGGGAAAATTTTTTTTTTTTTTTTTATTATTTTTTTTTTTTTTTTTTTAATTAATTTTTTTTTTTTTTTTTTAAATTTTAATTTTATTTGTACCATTAACAATGGAAAATAATAATTATTACCCAAATGAAAACAATATGAATAATACCATAAATTACATTGGTAATAATATTAATAATAATATAAATAATAATATAAATAATTTAAGTTATGACAATACTATTTATTTACAACAACAACAACAACAACAACAACAACAACAACAACAACAACAACTATTACAACACCAAACATTAATATTACAACAACAATATTATCAACAACAATACAATCAACAGCTACTACTACAACAACAACAGCAGCTGCAGCTACAACAGCAACAACCAGATCAAATTCAAAATGATATACCATTTGCATGGTTTTCAAATGTACAACAATTTTCCGATATAACACCAGAGATACCATTTCCTAATTTTAGATCAGATTCATCAATTAATTTAGTAAATTCCGAAAGCTTTACCAATACAGTATCACTTTTAAATTCTCAACGTATAATTCAACAACAATCACCAATTAAAGATCTTAATAATGACAATAATAATAATAATAATAATAATAGCAATATTATTCAAAACTCACCACAATATATTAAAACCATTAATCAAATGATCAAAAATACAAGTGTTTCACATATTAAAATGAGATCTGATATTCCCAAAATTCCAACTGATCCATCACCATTATTAAAAGCAATCTATACCCAAGTACCAATATTAAATGAAAAAGATAAAAGAGTATTATCACCTATTAATAATCAAATAAACCAACCAATCAATAACAATAGCAATAGAAATACCAACAAATATAACTATATAAATATTAATAATAAAGAAAATGAATTTATCAATTCAAAAGATCAACACCAAACCATTGAACACAACCAAAATAATAATGTGATTCCACCACAACAAAAACAAAAGAAAAAAGCTTTAAAAGTAACTGATAAAAATTTAGATCCACAACAACAATCGATCGAAATACAAGAAAATATTACACCAATTCAAAAACTATTTAATTTAATTTTACAATTTTTTGAAACTGTAAAAGATGACAAAGAACATGCCGTTATAAACTCTGCATTTTTAGAAAATATCGGAAAAGAAATTCAAACCTGCTCAAAAAATGGTATATTAAAGGATATTGCACTAGAAAAATACGCTCAGTTAATTCAATACTTAATCCGTTTTTCAAAAGAATCAAACAACATCTCTTTGTCTTATAGCGAAAAAGATCAAGATCTTCCACTTCAATTTCAAAAGGTTGAATTCTCTTTAGAATGTTGTTTACTATCTTTTAATTTATTAACTATGCCAGAAATTAGAGACCAACTATCCGAACTACTAGAAGATGTAAGTTTTTTTTTATTTTCTAATTATCTTTTTAATATAAATATAAATTAATATTAATTTTTTTTATTTTATTTTTATTAAATTTAATAAAATTATTAGCAACTAATCGAAATTTTATCATGTATTAAATATCATACATTTGAAAATATCATTGGCCATATAGATCCATCATTCAAAAACTATAAAGCTCCCCCACCAGAAAATGATGATAGTAACAATAAAAAAAAGAAATTAAAGAAAAATAAGAAATTAAAAAAAGATGATGGTACTGAAAGTAATGACGAAATTGGTGAAAAACAAGGCAGTGAAGATGATGAAGACGATAGTGAAGAAGATGACAATGATGATGGAGAACTATTTGATGATGAGGATGAATTCAATGATGATAGTGAATTTGACGATGAAGACGATGAAGATGAAAGTAATAATGAAACTGGTAGTGATGGAGAAGGAAAGAAGAAAAAGAAAAAATCATCCAATAAAAAGAGATCCATAAAGAAATCAAACTATATACCAAAAAAGAAAAGTAAAATGAGCAAATTTACAATTCTTTCAAATAAGCTTTCAGAAATTTTAGAAAAGATATCATGGCTAATAGAAAAGATCCCAATTACCTTATCAGAATCTTTCATCTCTCTATTAATAGACTTAACAATTCCAACATTATTTATTAATGGTATCAATTTTATTCAATTGTCTGTTGTCAACGTAATCAGAAATATTTTTATTAGATACCCAGACCAAAGACAATCAATTATTGATGAAATTTTACCAAATCTATCAAAACCAATTTTAAACTCCAAAAAAATACACCGTTTTTATAAAATTTCAAAAGATAAATCCATTCAAAATATATCCGCTTTGTTAATTCAAATGGTTCAAGGTTCAATTTCTAAGCCATCCGAAGATTCTCTTGCCGAACATTGTGAAGACTCATCATTCTCTTTAAAAGATGCCCAAAAATACTCTACAAATATAATTTTATTCTTTATCGAAAAGTGTTCAGAAAAAACAGAAGATGGTGAATATCGTATCCTCTTAGAAAACTTCATTCAAGATTTAATTACTGTATTAAACTTACCGGAATGGCCTGCTTCAAATCTAATTCTTCATTTGTTTAGTGCAACTGTAATGCATATCGTATCTCAGCAAAAGGTTGATAGTAACTTTAGATTAATTTCAATAGACTTATTGGGCTCCATTTTAACAAAACTAAAACAAGAAATTATTTATTCAAAAGAAGAAGTTCCATTAAACATTTCAACTACTTTTAGCGAAAACAAGGTACATTGTATTTGTAAGAAATATGACTGTAACTCAAACTCTACCACAATTAAATGTTTTGAATGTAATAATATTTTTCATGATATATGTTCAATTAGTTTTGAACAAACAATAAATAAACAACAACAAAATCAGCAACAACAAAAATATAACTATTATCAACAACAACAACAACAGCAAATAGAAAATCAACAATGGATATGTATTGGTTGTCAAGTAAAAGAGCAAATTATCTCCTATTCAAACTCAATGTCAATCTTACCAACATTAGAAGAAAAAGCATTACTAAAGAATTCAAAGAAGAAATCAAAGAAATCTATTGAAAATGATGATGATAGCAGTCCAAATTGTGACGATCCATTAAATCTAAAGAATTTAAAGCTTTCCGAAAAAGATATTTATCAACAATTGGTTTTAAACTATTTACAATCTGAATCAAATAATGAAAGTTGGGTAAATACATCAAAGAAATTTTTAATAAGTTCATTTTTAGATAATACAATTTCAGGTCCAACCACCAAAGAAAATTTTTCAACTAAAAAATATTTTCTATCGCAGTGGGCCAAATTAAAAACATCAACACCAACAATAACATCAGCATCAACATCAATAGTTAATACTGCTACATTAAACAATGACATTCAAAAATCATTTATTCCAAGCCATGAAGATGCAATTAAATTATTAAGAAGGGTCAATGTTACAAGTGGTACCGTTTATCAAATTTCAAACCAATTACTTTATCATTTACTTTCAATTTTATTTGATCCATCAACTAAAGCTCGTGCTAAAGCTATGAAATCATTTTCTACCATTGTCGAAGTTGATCCATCAATTCTAGCTGATGAAAAGGTACACTCTGCCATTAAGAATCGTTTTATTGATGAATCCATTTCAGTTAGAGAACATACTGTTGATTTAATAGGCAAATATATTTTCATCAAACCAGAACTCACATGGAGATATATAGATTCTATTTGTGAACTTATTGCAGACAAAGGTATCAGTGTTAGAAAACGTGTTGTTAAAACATTAAACGAAATTTGTATTCATCATATGCAACACCCAAAAATTCCATTTATTTGCCGTGTATTAGTAACAAGAGTCTCTGATGAAGAAGCAATTAAAGATTTGGTATTAAAAACTTTTCAAGATTTATGGTTTAGCGAGAAATTTTACGAAACCAATGATCATCTATCATCATCAAATAATCCAGAAGTTATTAAAGTTAAACAAATTATAGAGGTATCAAAACAACTAGATAAAGATGATTGGTTTATTGATTTAATTCAAAAGATGCTAAATAAATCAACTAGTGGTACAATTAAAAAGGGTGACTCCAAAAAGAAATTAGGAAAAGAACATGATGAAATAGTTAAAATGTCAAATAAGATTTGCTCAACTCTAATCGAAATGTTGGTTAGTTTAGATGAAAAGAAATCTAAAAATACATTAGAATATACTGGTATTTTTAAAACTTTAAATATTTTTTGTAAAGTTAATCCGCAATTCCTTCGACCATTTGCTTCATTTTTACATCCTTATTTAAAAACAAATAATGACCAAGTAAGTATAATCATTATTATATTTTAAAAAAATTTAATAATTAATACTAATTTTCTTTTTTTTTCAGATTATAAAATATGAAGAATCAGATAATTTTATTTTTATTACAAATATTTTAGAAAAAACTTTACCACTATTAGAAAACTGTGATTTAAATTTTTTACGTCAATTAGAAGATGATTTAATTTTACTAATAAGCAAACAAGGCTCATCAATTATTCAATCAAGTGTCAAATGTTTATGCAAAGTGGTTGAGCATTGTAGTTATAACTATGATATGATTAAAGAACAAATATCAAAGTATATTTATATACTCCAAACTTGCCAAACTAAAACAAAAAATGAAATTCTCCGTGCTCTCTATACTGTAGGTCTAATGATGCGTCATTTTAATTTCGAAAAGTATGGTATCTCTAGTGAGACTTTAAAAATCAACTTTAAGCCTCGTAATGTCATCAACTCTTTAGTGCCATTAATCACACGTTTATTCACATATGCCAAAGATAAAGATGTAATTTCCAAATCATTAGAATCAATTGGTAATATTATTATTTCAACTCCAAGAATTTTAAACAAAGATCTCATCAAAGACGTTTTAGTTAAATCCTTTTCACCATCTCAAGCCGAGCCAAAAATTAAAGAGACTGTAATGAATTTATTTTATAATCTATTAGAAAGAGAAATGAAAAAATTAAAGAAATTTTCACCAAATAAAAAAGATGATAAAAAATCAAACTCTACAAAAAAGAAATCAACAAAGAAGCAGCAACAAAAGCAACAACAATCAGATGAAAGTTCAAACGAGAGTGGTACTGATAACGAAAATAATGATCAAGATGATAGCGAAAGTGATGAAAAATCGCCAATTAAAAAAGAAATTATTTCGATGAATGTAGACGAAGACTCTGAATCATTGGTAACCTCCGTTCAAAAATATTTCCCATCAATGATCAAATATTTATTAGAACCAGAAGAATCTGTTAGATTAGCCTCAATTTCAACCATTGAACTAGTTATCAGACAAGGAATTTTAAATCCTTTAGATAGTGTACCATACATTATTGCTTTATTAACAGATCCAAACCAGCGTATTGCCGATTTGGCCTATTCAACTTTAGAATCATTAAATCAAAAGCATACCTCATCATTATTTAAAAGAGTTAATGAATCTATAAAATTAACATTTAAATTTCATCAAGGTAATATATTTGTTTAAATATATTCTTTTATATAATATATATTAACTTTTTTTTATTTTTTTTATTAGGTTTACCAAATTCAAATTTAACTACAAATAAACATAATAATAATGTTATTAAAGGAATTTCTAAATTTTATTTATTATTTAAAAATTCAAAATCAAATAGAACAAGTTTCCTTACATCAATTTCATCAAACTTTGATACACTAAAAGACTATAGATACAAAGAATTGGCTTACTTTAAATTTATCTTTGAGATTTTAGCAACATTGCCATATGGTAATATGGACGAAGTTATTGTTGTTATCAATACAATTGACAAAATCGTATCTTTAAATGCCAATTTCATCCTCACCAAACTTCAATCATGGTTTAACAATTTAAATAAAGAAGAAGAATCATCCAGCTCTAAAAAGAAATCAACGTCCACTACCTCTGCCACAGGTAGTTCCGAGCAAAAAGCATTATACAAAAACTTTGTTATGACGATGGTTATAAGCTATATGTTGCAATTAAAGAAATTTATTTTGAAGACATATTCAATTACAAAAGAAAGAATGAAGTCCTATTTAGAAAGCGAATCTAAAGACTCTGATAAATTAGTTACCACTTTTAACGAATCAATTACTCTCACCGAATCAAACTATCCCCTATCCCCACTTCCACTAGAATCTGATCTTCAATCAAATACAACTATTCAAAAATCAATTTTTACAGACTTCAAATCACTGTTAAAAGATGATGATATGGACGAATTTTCAATCAAAACAAAAACCAAATCTGATGAATCAGGTGCAGCTTCAAAGAAAAGAAAACCACGCGAACCAAAAGAACCAAAACCAAGCAAACCTGCTGCTAAAACAAATAGGAAAAAGAAAAACAAAGTTTCTTCAGAAGAAGAATAAAGCGATCAATATACTTATATAAATAACAATAACTGAACAAAAAAAAAAGAAAAAATTAATTTTTTTTTTTATATCAAAGTGTAAAATAAATATTTTATTTAATATTAAATTTTTATGTGTAATTTTATAAGTTTCTTTTGTTTGTGTAACTATTTAAATACTAATAGTGGCATTTGAATTTACATTAGCGTTAACACTTGATGCAGCATTAGTTGTGGCATCCAAAATAGCTTTGGTGGTGGCTGAAGCATCAATATTGGTATTTGATTTAGCAGATGCAAAAATATTAAGTGCAACACTATTAGAACCAAATGAACCTGAACCAGATCTACGGCCAATAACTGAACTTGAACTTGATGAAACTGAACCGATTGAAGCAATTGATGCTATTAAATATAAAAATAAAAACATAAAAAAATTAATATTTAAAAAATTATTTTTATCTTTATATTAATATTTACAAAAGAGCATTTTGAAATTTAGTTTTTTTTATAAATAATTTTTGATTTGAATGAAATTATATATTTAAATTTCCAAATTTATAGTTTTTTTTTTTTTCATTTTTATAAATAAAATTAAATAATTTTTCATGTTTAACAAAAAATTTGAAAATATTTATTTGAAAATTAAAAAAAATATTACTTTTTAATATTTGAATCTAAAATCACTTTATTAATAAACATTATTGTATTTCCACCATAAAATATTGAAATCATTTAAGGAAATATTTAAATATTGGACAAATATACATATTTTATTTTTGGTAAGATAAATGTTCATCTTTTAAAAAAAACTGTTATTATCAAAGGTAACTATATTATAAGATACCCCAAATTATCAAACAATACTAATTTTGCTATCAAAAATTATAATCCAAAATAACCAACTCTACAATTTTTAAATTTTTTTTTCAAATAAACAATCTAAATAAAGTAATTCCAAAATTTACTCATTATTAAATTTGTAATTGGTATCAAAAGTAAACAGATATTGTTAATCTATAATAGATATTTTCAATATATAATTACCACGCAATCCACCACAATAAAAATACCCCACCCCCTTTTTTTTTTTTAAATTTTTACTAAACTTTACTTTTTCAAATTAATTAATTTAAATAAACAAACCCCCTCTATATATAATTTTTCTATATTTATACCAAAAATATTTTCAATCTGAGATATTTTTCTTTTTACCATTATATTTTTTAGTATACCCATTTCTTTGGGAATAAGGTATTTTATTTCTTATAAACAAAGATTAAAAAAAACAATGAAATCTATATTTAGATTTAAAAAATAGTAAATTATCATTATTTTTTTAATCTTTTAGATTTATATTAATTAATAAATATTATATATAGTAAATTAATATAATCAATTGATAATGTTTAAAAATCTATTTTTAAATAAAAAATAAATGAAAAAATAATAAAAATAATAAAAATCAAATACAAAATTTGGTTTTATATTTTTAAAAAAGATTTATTTGTTTTTTTTGTTTAAAAATGACGGAATTTTTCACCAGCATAAAGTTCATCAGTATTGTTACCATTTTCAGCGAGTTCTTCATCAATTCTAACAATTTGATTGTATTTGGCTAATCTTTCTGATCTGCATGGAGCACCAGTTTTAATTTGACCAGTACCTAAACCAACAACTAAATCAGCAATAAAAGTATCTTCAGTTTCACCAGATCTGTGAGAGACCATAACACCCCAACCAGCATTCTTTGAATCGATGGCGGCTTGAATTGATTCAGTAACTGAACCAATTTGGTTGACTTTTAATAAAAGAGCATTACAAGCTTTCTTTTGGATACCTTCTTTAATTCTTTCTGGGTTAGTGACAAGTAAATCATCACCAACGATTTGGATTTGAACTGATGAGGTTAATTTAGAGTATGATTCCCAATCATCTTGGTCAAATGGATCTTCAATTGAAACAATTGGATATTCTTTAATGAATTCTCTGTAAAGGTCGCCTAATTTTTCACCAGAGATAACTTGTGAACCGTCATTGTTTTTGGTCTTGAAGTCAAGATCGTAACCATTGTCGACTTTGAATTCTGAGGCAGCACAATCCATACCAATTTTAACTTTATCAGTGTAGCCAGCTTTTTCAATAGCAAGCTTTAAGAGTTCGAGACCTTCTTTGTTTGATAAAATTGGTGGAGCAAAACCACCTTCATCACCAACATTGATGGCATCTTGACCATATCTACCACTGATAACATTCTTTAAGTGATGGTAAACTTCTGAGCCCATACGATAAGCATCTTTAAAGTTTTTAGCACCAACTGGTAAAATCATAAATTCTTGCATAGCTAATTTATTACCAGCATGTGAACCACCATTAATAACATTAAAAGCTGGAACTGGTAATCTAACTTTAGTACCTGCAATTTCTGAAATATATCTAAAAATAAAAAAAATAAAAAAATTAAATTAAAAAAAATAATATTTTTTTTTTTTAAAATCATATTGTTAATTAACAATATTATTATTTAATAATTATTAATATTACTATTTATTATATAATAAAATGGAATATGATTTTTTATAATATAAAAATAATAATGTTTAAAATTTTTTATAATATATTATTTAAATATTTTTTTAATTATTTGATTTACCATACTCGTTAAGTCCTATGCACCCAGACAATTAATCAATTTTTTCGAAAATAAAAAAAAAAAAATTGAAAAAAAATTAAAATAAAAAAATAAAAAAATTTTTTGAAACCAGAAATAGTGGATTCGGAGTTAAAATTGGAGGTGCAAAAAAAAAAAAAAAAGAAAAAAAAAAAAAAAATTTTATTGTTTTAATTTTGAACATCATAAGTCAAACCTTCAATCTCAGCTAGTGAGAGCATTTTTGGTTGAGGGTGATTGTTGAATGAATTATCGTTATTCATTTCAAATAAATTTTGATTTGAAGTTTGTTGTTGTTGTTGTTGATAAATATTTGAACCAAACCATCTTTCTAAGCCACTGTTTTGTTGTGGTTGTTCATAAGACAATTCTTGTTCTTCATTTACAATATGGCTATTTGATAAAAGTCCTTTTGAATTAACATTGAGACCTGGTGGTGGTGGGATATTTGAAAGTGATGAAAATCCTGGTGGTGGTGATACAACTTGTGGTTGTTGTTGTTGATATTGGAATTTATTAAATTTACTAGTATTATTCATATTATTGTTACTATTGTTGTTCATATTATTATAATAACTCTTTGAATAATTACCATTATTTTGATTATGGTGAGTACTATAATTACTGTTATAATTTGAAAAGTAATGTTGATTTTGATTTTGATTTTGATTTTGATTTTGATTTTGATTTTGATTTTGATTTTGATTTTGATTTTGATTTTGATTTTGATTTTGATTTTGATTTTGATTTTTTGTATTTAGGTTATTAAAACTATTACCTAAAACCTTGTTGTTATTATTATTATATGCTATGGCAGAGTCATTTGAATCAATGTTATCACTATTAATATTGTTTAAACTGTTGTTTAAACTACCGGACGATCTTGAAGGGGCCCAAGTTGAGAAACCATTGGAAAATATATCTTTATTGAATCTTGGTTGCTTAGTATTATTATCAAGCTCGTCTGGGTTAAAGATAAAACTTTGTTCATCTGTTGATACCTCAGCCATAGATTCTTTGTTATTTGTGCTGTTATTAATATTTAATTTCCAGGTATGAAGGAGTGATTCCGATTTATTATTTGAGAACAATGAAAGATTTCCCATAAGATTATCCATATCATCTTCGCTGCTGGTATTTAGCTGATCAATTTTTGGTTCGTTATCAATATCAAATCTTGTTGTATTGGTTTTAGTAGGGCTTTGGTTTTGGCTGGTATTTAAATTATTACTACTATTATTTAAATTTACACTGTTACTTGTATTATTATTAAAGATATTTTTTTCAAAATGATTTTTTTGGAATCTATGTGGATTATTATTACCACTATTATTTAATCCATGATTATTTGAATTGATGTTATTTTGATTTTGTAATTGATTTTGGTTTTGTGATTGATTTTGTTTATTAAATTTAAAATTATTATTATAACTATAGTTTTGATGGGGTTTGCCATTCACTAAGTTATTGTTATTACTATTATTATAGTTGTTATTAAAGTTTTTAGTTGGTAACGAATCGAATGATCCAGATAAATTATTGGAATTGCTTTTATTAAAGCCATTTTCTGAAGAATTTACAGGTGGTCCCCTTGGAACTCTTTGTTGTTGATTATTTCTTTGATAATTACTATTATTTGTAAAATTATTATTCTTATTATAATAGTGACTGTTGTTGTTGCTTGCCATATTACCACTTGAGTTCAACTGTTGTGGAATACCGTTATTATTATGCTGTCTATTGTTTTGGTTATTATATTTATAACTGTTGTTATTTTGATTATTGTTTGTTTTTAGAGATATATTTACAAAGTTGCTATTTTGGTTGCTTTGGTTATTTGAGTTGAATGAATTAATAGTTGGTGACAAACTCGAACTATTATTGGAGTTTAAAATTGAATCGTTTGAAAGATCTAAACTTTTAAAAGTTGGAAATACTACATTTGCATTTGCATTAATAAGTGGTGGTGAATAGCTTTTCCCGATGTGATTTGGTGTATTGGTTTTACTATTACTATTTGTGTTATTATTCATATTATTGTTATTGTTGTTGTTGTTGTTATTATTGTTATAAGGAGTTGTAGTGTTGTTATGTTTTTGATATGATTTGTTTTGATAATAATTATCTATTATAAATAAAAAGTAAGTATGAGGTTTAAAATTTTAATTTTAATATTGTTTATAAAAATTATTTACTTTTTAAAGGATCTAATTCATTTGAAAATGTCATTGGAATGATATTGTCCATTTTAATTATTTTTTTAATATTTTTAGCAAAATGAATTAAGTTTAATTTAAAGAAACAAAAAGTGAGGCAACAACGAAAAAAAAAAAAAAAAAAAGAAATATTTTTCGAAAATTTTAAAAAATTAATTAAATTTGAAGAAAATTGAAAAAAAAAAATATTTTAAAAAAAATTATTGGTATGAA